ACTTTTGTGGGGGGTACTTTTGTGAGGGGGTACTTTTGTGGGGGGTACTTTTGTGGGGGGTACTTTGTGGGGGTACATTTTGTGGGGTACTTTGTGTGGGGGTACTTTTGTGAGGGGGTACTTTTGTGAGGGGTACTTTGTGGGGGGTAATTTTGGGGGGGTAGGTTGTGAGGGGGGTACTTTGTGGGGGTACTTTTGTGGGGGGTACTTCTGTGGGGGTACTTTGGGGGTACTTTTGTGGGGGGTACTTTTGTGGGGGTACTTTTGTGAGGGGTACTTTTGTGGGGGGTATTTTTGTGAGGGGGGAACTTTTGTGAGGGGTACTTTTGTGGGGGGTACTTTTGTGGGGGGTACTTTTGTGGGGGTACTTTTGTGAGGGGTACTTTTGTGGGGGTACTTTTGTGGGGGTACTTTTGTGAGGGGGTACTTTTGTGGGGGGTACTTTTGTGGGGGGTACTTTTGTGGGGGGTACTTTTGTGAGGGGGTACTTTTGTGGGGGGTACTTTTGTGAGGGGGTACTTTGTGAGGGGGTACTTTTGTGAGGGGTACTTTTGTGGGGGGTACTTTTGTGGGGGTACTTTTGTGGGGGGTACTTTTGGGGGGGTACTTTTTGTGGGGGGTACTTTTGTGGGGGGTACTTTTGTGGGGGTTACTTTTGTGGGGGGTACTTCTGTGGGGGGTACTTTTGTGGGGGGGTACTTTTGTGGGGGGTACTTTTGTGGGGGGGTACTTTTGTGGGGGGTACTTTGTGGGGGGTACTTTTGTGGGGGGTACTTCTGTGGGGGGTACTTTGTGGGGGGTACTTTTGTGGGGGTACTTTTGTGGGGGGTACTTTTGTGGGGGGTACTTTTGTGGGGGGTTATTTTTGTGGGGGGTACTTTTGTGAGGGGTACTTTTGTGGGGGTACTTTTGTGGGGGGTACTTTTGTGGGGTGTACTTTTTGTGTGGGGGTACTTTTGTGGGGGGTACTTTTGTGGGGGTACTTTGGGGGTACTTTTTGGGGGGGTACTTTTGTGGGGTTATAAGACCAATATAGCTGCACACCACGTCACGCCCACGCCTCGCCTACGCCTCACCCACGCCTCGCCCGCGCCTCACCCACGCCTCGCCCACGCCTCACCCACGCCTCGTCCGCGCCTCACCCACGCCTCACCCACGCCTCGCCCACGCCTCACCCACGCCTCGCCCACGCCTCACCCACGCCTCGCCTCACCCACGCCTCGCCCACGCCTCACCCACGCCTCACCCACGCCTCGCCCACGCCTCACCCACGCCTCACCCACGCCTCGCCCACGCCTCACCCACGCCACTCACAAGCCTGGCCCTCTGCCCTTCTACACCAACAAAACCTTGAGGTACGAGTGAGAGCATCAGCACCCGACCATCCATCACCTATCACATCCTCCAATAGCAGCTCTCACAAGACCGTAGAACCTCTCCTATTTCCTCCGGAAGCCCTTCCATCCCACTTCCATCCATTACTTCTCTCCTTTCCACCTGCATCCCTCTGCTCTTTCATTATAAGCTTCGTTTGCTCTTTGCTTTTTTTTTATGGAATCAAATAAAGTTTTTTGCATGTATGCTTTCCATTTATCCTCTTTCCATATCTGGCCTCCCCTTTATCACCTGCTCCCGTCTATATCCCTCCTGTCTGCTCCATTTCCCTTCTCATTCCTTTAAGCTCCTACCCCTCTTCATTTACCTTTCTTTTCTCATTCTCCCTCCTTCCTCTCCTCGTCCTACTCCCACGTTTCCTCCTATTAAGGAAACACTCCCATGCACAAGTCCAAATTCGCCTCTCACCGTCTCCGTTCAGTCTTCCTTACCTCTCCTGAAACAAGAAATTCTCTCCTCTTGGGCAAGATATTCCCTTCCGTCTCCTTAAACACCCTGGGGGAGCCGGTCGGCCGAGCGGACAGCACGCTGGCCTTGTGATCCTGTGGTCCCGGGTTCGATCCCTGGCGCCGGCGAGAAACAATGGGCAGAGTTTCTTTCACCCTATGCCCCTGTTACCTAGCAGTAAAATAGGTACCTGGGTGTTAGTCAGCTGTCACGGGCTGCTTCCTGGGGGTGGAGGCCTGGTCGAGGACCGGGCCGCGGGGACACTAAAGCTCCGAAATCATCTCAAGATAACCTCAAGATAACCCTACATTATATAGAACTCTCTCCTTCATCTTCGTTCTTCCCCATTTGCTGTGTACATGTCAACACTTTCATGTCTGTATTCTAATTCCTTTTAACTCTAAAAGGAATGTTTTCTAAAAGCAGATGTTTTCTCAAATATAAATTATTATATATTAGCATATTGTGCATATTAAGCACTGGTTAGTTTAGGTGTTTAGGTTCTGTTGGCGATTATTTGTATTTGTAGTACGTGGGTGAAGCATTTACAGCGTTGTGGTTCGAACAAAAGTCGTCAGTGAAGCACTTGTTCCGGAAGTGTTCGGACGTCATCAGTTGTGAGTCGTGTGTAAACTGTTTTTCATACATTAAACAGGGGTTTGGTGGGTGCATGGAATGGACATTGGCCTTTGTTTATGAGGACGGGTTGCATTTAGTTGGGTTGTGTCACTCACAGATTACTGCAAGCTGCTCCTCGCCTTGAACAAGCCTTTACCCTATTTCCATCGAGAACTATTTTTTTCGTCTATTTCACAATGAACCAAAACACCCCTTTCCATTCTCTTCTAATTCCTTTCTCTTATTCAATCGTATTATTCCTTCGGTCCTTTCAGCCTCCTGACTCTTCTCTCTGCACAATAAGCTGGATCCCCTCCCCGCCTCCATTTCATCTGGGTGTGTAGTGGGGAGGAACTGGGCGTGAGTGGGGAGGGGTGTGGCGAGGGGGGGGGGGGGGAGCTGGGTGCAGGAGAGAGGTTTATGTGACACCAGGGAAGGAAGTTGGAGACATCGATGGTATTTGATGCGTGGTGAACCCAATCCCAGGATCTGGGCTCTGCTCTTCCCGAAAACTCCACATCTCCTTATCCCACCCTTATTCTCATTCCACCTTCCAATCTTCCTATCCCGCCAAACACACCGTAACTACGACGTTGGTACAACGTTCGAACAAGTTTTAACACCACCTAACCAGTTATAACAACCAATATCGCAAGTTGTAACAACGTTCTAATACGTCATAAACACGTTAAGCCAAGATGTAACAACTTTATTACAAGTTGTAACAAGCGGAAAATATAGACAGTTTCGGTTTGTGTTTCCCGGGATCACACCCTCGTCCAACTCCATGCCTTTCTACTTCACTCTTTCGGAACCCAATACCTTCCTAAAGCCATGTACCTTTCAATCCAACACCTTACAACGCTACCTTAACTTACCCCATTCCCATACCTCCTCCAACCCAACCTCTTAGCTACAGACTCTGCTCCACTCTCAGCACACACAAGTCCCTCGTCTTGTTACTTATTCATCAACCCCACCCCCTCCCACCCCCACCTTCCCTTCTCCCTCCCCACCTTCTCCTCCGTCCCCACCCACTCGCCACAATTCGCATTTCATTATCTTCAAACCGCCCCACATAAGAATTTTTAAACTAGATTACAGGAATCTGCAGAAGGTCTATTGTCCCCTATGTGAGGCACCAAACTCCCTCTGTACCCAAACAGTCGTCGTTCACTGACTCATGAACAGATTCAATACTCTCACGTCAATTAGTTTGGCTTATAATCGGTTCCACGTGTCTATAACCCTATTTCCAATTACGGATTTCCAGGATCCTTATCCTGATCCCTTCCCAGTGCTCTGGGAAGTGGCTTAGCGCTTTCTGCTGGTAGGGAGGAAGCGCCAGGCGCCAAGGGAGAACAGGGGAAAGGGAAGCGCCCTTCCCTCCCCCTCTGTTCTCTCTACCATCTCTCCCTCTTCTCTCTTCCAAACACGTATATACCTATTTTCTGAATCCAAACATAACTTTTCATGCATGTGTATACTTCAGTACTTTATCCAGTCCTGGTACTTCATACCCCATCCTCCAGCTTGCCTATGTTTACCTATCTTCCTACCTCTATCTGTCTACCTACCTTCCTGTCTACTACCCTCTTCCTATCTAATGCAGTGTTTTGTTGTCCTTCACATTGGGGTAAACAGCAGGAATCCTGAGTAATGGTGACACCTTATGGAAATTTAGGCAAATTGTGACCATGTGAATATCACATATTTCTTATCCGATGGTATAATGAGAGAGAGAGGGGGGGGGGAGGAAGAGGAGGAGGAGAGATGAGCAGAGGAAAATGGGTAGAGAGAGAGAGAGAGAGAGAGAGAGAGAGAGAGAGAGAGAGAGAGAGAGAGAGAGAGAGAGAGAGAGAGGGGGGAGGAAGAGGAGGAGGAGAAATGAGCAGAGGAAAATGGGTAGAGAGAGAGAGAGAGAGAGAGAGAGGGGAGGAAGAGGAGGAGGAGAGATGAGCAGAGGAAAATGGGTAGAGAGAGAGAAAGGAGGGAAGAGGGAGGGAAAGATAGGAAGGGCGGTATAGAGGGTGGCCAGCTAGGTTGATAGGCTTTTGGGTGGGTTGATTTTTGACTGGGTGGATGTATTTTTGGCTGGGTGGATGTATTTTTGGCTGGGTGGATGTATTTTGACTGGGTGGATGTATTTTGACTGGGTGGATGTATTTTGGCTGGCGCGCAGGCTCAGGTGGGAGGGTGGCCGATTTATACATCGAGGAAGAGGGGCAGGTAAATTAAATGAAGGTATGGACGCCGGGAAAGAATAAGATGTGAGTGTGAGTGTGGTGGACGAGGGTCAAGTCAGCATGAGGAAGGTAAGGGAAGAGTAGCAGTGTGAGATGTACTACCAACCATTGGAAGGTTATATCCTTACAAGTTACCTCTGGAAGGTTACTGCCTTACACGTCATCAAACCAAGTCCATTACTATGAGAAACACCACCCACCCTCAAACTACCTGCATAGTTATCTAAGTATTTGTGATGGCTTGAATGCATAATACGGTTCCAATAATAATCTACATGTAAACTGGCACAGGACCCTTTGTCCTGAGCAGAGAATATTCTCAAGTTATAACTTTATTGGAATATAAATCACTGGTTTAAAATATAAAAAGCTGGATAAAAATTGAATAAGCTGAAAACGTTTTCTTTCAAGAATTTGGTTTTCTGTAAACAGGATTCTTGGGTACACTGAAATAGTTTCCGAATTTCATATTTTCACATTATCGTCAATAATACACCGTATTAATGTAACCTAACCCAACCAAACCTTAACCTAAAGTTACCCTAACCTAACTCTTATGGGGGGTACTTCCAGTATTCCCCAACACCAGTTTTTGTAAACTGTCTACCCCAATGTTGACAGTTTACAATCAAACGTAGATGCGAGTAGACTTTCCTGATGAAGAGTATCTACAAATATATAAACTACTTTCAGCTTTGTATTTGCAGAGGAAACAAAGTAATGTATATATATATATATATATATATATATATATATATATATATATATATATATATATATATATATATATATATATATATATTATATCCCCCACCATTACTTCGGGGGGTCATAGAGTACGGTCAAAGGTCACAGGTGCCTAGATGTTGAGTGACTCAGTCACCCGGGTGATGGTGAGTCAGGTGACACTATGGGTGACTCAGGGGCCCGGTGGGTGAGTCAGGTGGCACTGTGGGTGACGCAGGGGCCACTGGTGAGTCAGGTAGCACTGTGGGTGACTCAGAGCCACTGGTGAGTCACTGAGGTGCCGAGACGGATGCCTTGGCCAACAGCGGCCCTCCCCCCTCACCTAATGGCACTCCTGAGGCACGTGTTCATGTTTACCTGCACGGTGTGTGGAGGGTGGGAGTGCTGGAGGGAGGGAGGGAGTGCTGGAGGGAGGGAGGGAGTGCTGGAGGGAGGCAGGGAGTGATGGAGGGAGGGAGGGAGAGATGGAGGGAGGCAGGGAGAGATGGAGGGAGGCAGGGAGAGATGGAGGGAGGCAGGGAGAGATGGAGGGAGGCAGGGAGAGATGGAGGGAGGCAGGGAGAGATGGAGGGAGGCAGGGAGGGAGGGGGTGGTGGAGGGAGGGAGGGAGGGTAGGGAGTGGTGGGGAGGGAGGTAGGGAGTGATGGAGGGAGGGAGGGAGGGAGTGAGGAGGGAGGGGAGGGAGTGATGGAGGGAGGGAGGGAGTGATGGAGGGAGAGAGGGAGTGCTGGAGGGAGGGAGGCAGGGAGTGATGGAGGGAGGCAGGGAGTGGTGGAGGGAGGGAGGGAGTGGTGGAGGGAGGGAGGGAGTGGTGGAGGGAGGGAGGGAGGGAGGGGGTGGTGGAGGGAGGGAGGGAGTGGTGGAGGGAGGTAGGGAGTGATGGAGGGAGGGAGGGAGGGAGTGATGGAGGGA